AAAAGAAAATAACAGAACTCAAATAGGTAATAATAAAATGGTGGACCTTAGCCAGAATTTGTTGAGCCTCAAACTTGTACATACACCATAGACAATTACAAAGCATAGAAAATTCAAGGTAAGATCTCTAAAGCAGATCTACAAAGCAATCTAAATTAGAAGTAGGAAGCCAGAGGTTCTGAGACTTCTCATTTCAGAGAATGACATAGGCTCTAAATAAACTGCAGAGTGAGGAAATATGCTATAACAATAGTTATCTGATGATAAAAATGTCAATTTGCATAATAAGTTAAAATAAAAAGCATCACAACAAACTAAAAACTATTAAGGAATGGTTATTTAAATAGAAAAAAATGAAAATGTAACATGATTTGGAACAATTGTGTAGAGGAAGATAGTACAGAATTTTTTTATTTTATTGATAAAAGAACAAAAACATTAACACACACAGACATTTACAAAATAGCACAAAAACCATACAAGCAATAGAGAATTTCAGAGAAGGTGATAGGAAATTAACAATGGTTGTTGTATGACATACTAATATCTTCAAATTGGTTACTCAGGTAAAAAATATAGACATGTAAGACTGATCAAACAGTTAAACATTAATTGTTCCTTTCAATAAAGCAACAGAAATCAGTAGTACAACTATCTTAGCTATCCTGTGTATACATATATACATGTTTTCCTTTCTTTCTTTTCTCTTTTCCCACATCCTAGTTGTTCTTTCCTTTTGAGCAGTTCCTTTCCCTTTCACAATATCTATTGTACCTTTTAGGTTTTATTCACTCTTTCAGGTTCTTATACTAATGGGACACTACAGTGTTTACACATGAAGGTCTGATTTATTTCACTTATGAGTATGGTCTCTAGTTGTGTCAATTTACCTATAAAAGCCTTGAGTTTATCTTTCTTTATAATTGAGTAATATTCCATCACATAAAAATACCACAACTTTTTTATCCATTCCTCAGTGGATTGGCATTTGGGTTGCTTCCACAATTTAGCTATTACAAATTGCACTGCTATAAACATGAGTGCACATATATCACTGTGGTATGATGTTTTCAGTTCTTCTGGAAAAACACCCAAAAGAGAAATAGATGGGTTGAATGGAACCTCTAATCCTAGTTTACTGAGGAATCTCCAAACTGATTAAGGTAGTACAGAATTAATCAAATAATAACAACTACTTTTTCCAATAGCTTTAAATTCAGGACACTGAAGTTGTGGATAAAGTAGCTGTAGCAGCACACTTTCAAGTGGATCAGTGGTAAATGTTTTCATGATAACAATTTAAATTCAACATATCGCTTTTCAAGATTTTGGTTTTTTATTCTAATCAATAGGAAAGGAATTTCAATTTATTTAAAGGACAAAAGTTCATTTTAAATCTTGATAATGCTGGAAGGTATAAAGATAAAAGTTCATTGAAAAATAAGCAAGCTAATATTAAGAAGTAATGCCATAAAATTTTAGAGATATATTTTTAAAAATAAGACAAAACTATGGAAAAATAAACTAACATTTGTGTAAACAGATGGTAAAAATGAAGCACTTATTTTAATAACATAATCCCATATATATTACATATCAATAAATTTAAACATACATAAAAGGGCTAAAAATCAAAACATTAAACAGAAACAACTTCTGAAGAGAAGGGATAGACAGTTTATGAATATTACTCTTTGTACGTTATTTGCCAAAAATACCTAAAAATTATTTTTATTTACTTTGGCTACTTACGTAGAATAATTTGGAACATAACATTTCATATCCTTGCTTCAGTGTCCCCTTTGGTTTCCGTATTGGAGGGTAGGGTCTGTATCTTTGTAAGGCATCAATATATAATACTAATTTCCCATTATTAAATTCTCCCAGGTACTGTGTAATTGGTTATAAAATAACACAAATTCTTCACGATAATTTTAGCGTGGGTAGTGCACTTAAAAAATCATCTACAATACAAGGAGTGCACATTCAAGGTGATACTGAGGACTGGCAACGTGCCTTTCACTCCAAGTGAAGAGTTCGGAGACTGTGTGAATGGGGCTGGAGATGTAGCTCAGTGGCACAGCGCATGCCTGGCAAACAGGAGGTCATGAGTTCGATTTCCATTACCCGAAAACAAAAGGACTCTGTAAAACACACTTAATTATATGGAACAGTCAGTGAAGAAAATTTGCTATTCAAGAATAATGATCCATCTGGCATCTTCTTAAGTCCTAAACTGATGCATACCATGGTGGAGAATAAGAAAGCTAAGTTGAAATGAAGACAGACGGTAGAGTTAGTACAGCTGTGCTTACTCTCTTTAAATGCTACAGCCTATAGGATCTTCCTTTAGCAAAAGTATAAATCCATATACAGTGGGCCTTTGAGTTGTGCTATGAAAGGAATAGAAGCTAAAAATGTTAGCACAATGAATCTCATGGGGTATAACATATAGAGCTTTCATTGGAAATGTCTTTCTCCTGACAACACCTACTCGCTTTGCCTTTTATTTATTTATTTATTTATTTATTTATTTTTGACACGGGGTCTCACTACATGGTTCATAATGGTCTTGGCCTCACTTTGTAGCCCAGAATGGCCTTAAACTCACAGCTATTCTCCTGCCTCAGCCTCCTGACTGCTGGGATTACAGGTGTGCACCACCACACCTGGTTCAACCCCTACTCGATGATAATCTCCTCTTCATGCAATGTTTACTAATACTGTTCATTTAATCAGTTAGTCACATTGTCCCATAGAAATACATTTTAATCTCATTATTTATAGTTTTATCTGTCTGCATCTGTATTATAGACATATGTGTAACTGTGTGTGATCAAACTATATGGTGAATGTTTAAATTAAAAATAATTGTTACAGGAAAAGACGCATTGCCATTAACCCCCTCATTTTGAACACAAACTCCCCATCATTCCTGCTAGTTTCTTTACTTTTAATGGTAGTTTTATTTATTCAAATTTTATCTCAATTTTAAAATTTTTTCTTGTTACTATGTGTTGACTTACATAATGATTACATTCATTGCAGGTAGTTGGTTCGTGTACGTAACACTGCCTCACTCTTCTTACTTTCTGAAACAGTTCTGGAAGTCCTCTTCTGTGAGTGTTTCTGTGAAGAATGATCAAAAATACAGTGAATGTCATTGCCAAGTGCTATCAGATGGAAAAGCAGGCTGGTAAAACAGTGAGCTCCAATCCATCTTACTCACTAGATGTGATGCCATGCAATTTCTGATTCTTCCCCAAAGTCAAAACGAGGATGAAAGGTAAATATTTTTCAATGCATTCAGTATGCTGAAGCAGCTGTAAGAGGGAAGGGACTCACGAAAGAGGACTCCAGAGCTGCTTCGGGGAGTGGCAAGAATGACAGGGTAAGTGTGTGCAAGGGGGGTTATTTTTAGAGGGATTAATAACAATATATCTCTTATGGTAATAATTTTTAAAAATTAAACATTCACTGCATAGTTTAATCATACCTTTTACACAAGATTTTGTCACACATCTTTGTAACCCACAAATTCTCCAGACCAGCTTTTAAAAAAGAAAACCCAAGATATGTAGCTATTTATAGAGAGACTCAATTGATATTAATAACACCAAAATGAACAATTCAGTATATTAATCTATTAATAATTTCTTTAAAACCATAATGCAAACTATTAACTGGAGCTTTTAAAGTTACTAACCAGTTACTTGATCTATGTAGATACTGCCAACAAGGAACTTATAGAAAGCTATCTTTTCATCAATGTGTTTTAATAAATATTGAAAATTTGTAACAGAGCCTAGAGGGTGTTTCTGCCAATCATATAGAATTGTTTTGACAGGTTATTATGTCTATGATAAAATTTTTCAAATTATAATCCTAAAAACAGTTATAATTCTCAATTATGTGGTATAATTTGTATTATCAGAACACTAAGCTCCTTACTTTATGAGCCTGGTATTTGAAAGATGGATGGTACTATTTTATTCCATAAGGCATATGTTAATATCATTCTTCATTCCTAGCCAATCTTTTTATGAAAGTAAGTGCCATCAGCCTGGGGGTACTAAGTTATACCTAATTACAATACAAAAGAATCTCTGCATCAGAGATTTTAACATTAAGTACATTTATTATAGGTGCTGTTTGCATTGCTAAAATGAAATTATGAGTAAATAATCTCTGCTTTTTAGGAACTGTGGATTTTAACCAGGCAGTATGTGTGGGGGGAGTATAGTACTATGTGCAACACAAAAGCTTGAGATAATATCCATTTCCTTAAGCACAAAGCTGGAGGTACATCTGAGAGAGATGATTATTGCTTGTTAAGGCAGCAAATATATTCAAGGATAGCACCTTTTTGATTCCCAGTTCACCCTAAACATCCAATATAGTAATGTTTGATCAACAATAATTCAATCAAATGATTAAATAACGGTGGAAAGGTTTATTATATTAACACACAACCTGGTCACAAACAGACAATGAACAAGAGAGAGTCCCACTGAAATGTGTCTAGAACAGCTAAGCTTTTGAGACAAGGACTGCTAAAAAGTTAAGTTTAACTGTCAATTACTATTTGTTCATTGAGAATTTTAAAGCATATGTAAGGAGTACAAAAGTATGGAAAGGTATGATCCTTGACCTAAAAGAACTTGTAGTCTAGTTGAAGGGATCCTGTTAATATTCAAGGAATGGCCTGACTGCAACCTAAAGGAAATTAAATGTAGTACACAGAATTATTTTAAGTCTACAGAAAATCAAAAAAGAAAAAGTCAGCACAGAGTGAATTTGCCATGACAAATACCAGGGCCCAGGTGAATTTTCAGCTGATTTTTGAGCCATGTGTAAATCCGGTAGACTCCACAAGGCATAGATTGCTTGGATTTTATGAGCATCCAAACTAAGCACTAGAAGAAGAATATTGACAGGAGATCAGTTTCCCTGTACCAAAAGAAGAGAAGGGCAAGCATTCAGACAAATTGGCTCATTATGCGAAGGCCTGAGGAGAGCCAAAAAAGTACGCATCTCATTCTTGAAAAACAAAGATGCTTGCATAGGACTAGAATAGCAGACTGAGATGATGAAATGGAATTTCAAGGGGAATGATCTGATGTGAATGCACAGGAAAACCTCAAAATTTTGGCAAGCATGAGGCTATTTAAAGAAGCTGAAGATCTGAAATTATGTCAGGGACCTGGCAGAAAGAAAGCAGAGGAAATAGTACACAGTGGGTGATTTTTGGCACACAATAATCTCACCATGCTGATCATTCAGTTTTGGTTCTTAGATATTCAGGGTCTTAAAGGTCTTGTGAGCCAGTGCTCCATATAAATATGATGCCTGGACAGTCCTCCTTGCACAGGTTTTATTTGGGAGCTGAGATTTCAGGGCTTTTGGACATCATGGTACAGACACTCTTTTTCCCACAGTGGAGAGAATAGAGTCACCCACTGCGCAAGTTCTCAGAGCAAGAGCTGAAAAGAGCAAGAAATAGACACTGCAGAATGTAAATATTCTGTTTCCAGGGTGAAGAGCTGAAGGTTGAAAGGAAAGCAGTAGACCTGCTGTGTTTTTTGTTTAGCCACCCAAGAAAAACCTCATTTATATTCCTTTCCAGTGTTAATCCAGGTTAACCTAATTCATTGGCTTCTTGAAAGTCTAGACTACTATTACTTTTACCATCATTTTTCTTTTGTTATTGTTAGTATGATTAGCTTTATTATTGGAATCAGATGGGAATAACGAAAATAACCTAACTGTTAAAATACTCAAGCCATCTTTGACTATGGTTATAAAGTTGGTTCCTACTCAGTAACTTAGGAAATTAAAAACACTAAATCTAGGATTTTCTCCACTGGGACCTAATCCAGTCCAATTTAGAAGTTGAGGATTTATAAAGGCTTTTCTGAAAGAAATGGGAAAATGCCAGCTACAATTTCTTGCTAGACTTGAACTGAATCTATTAACCTTGCCCAGAGAATATAATGTTACAGTTATCTCATTTACAATGTTATTGTATATGATTTATGGCCACAGTATCAAGCCTCAAACTAGGTTTTGTAGTTTTAAGTTAAATTTACATGTCTGTAATACAAATGATTTTTTCTTGTTCAGACAAAAAGATATTAAAAAGTGATTTATAATATTTCAGTTGGGTAGAAATATACAGTATGACTTCGTCTACTGAGGGAAAATATTAGACAGCTATTATGAATATGTACATTCACACTGCTTCCCATCTTTTAATGTGTTCCTGGTTATAAGTCACTAGACATCTTCAGAATTACATTATATTTAGAATACAATGGGCCACAAATCTATATGAAAATCAGATTTAAAAGAACAACCAAAGGACAAGGGAAACAATGTATCTTCTCTGTCATTCCCCTAAGATCGTGACTGCTAAAACTCACTTGTGTGTGACCATTTTTGCATGTGTCCTTTACCTAACATAATATAATAAAATGATCCTTAAATGGGCTGCACAGACGCTGCTTTGACATTGTCACCATTATTGAAACCCAAGAGAATTTGCTCCACTACTAACAGGAAGAGTTTAAGATTTGATTTGGGGAGGAAACTGCTTTTTTGAAAATAGTTACTACGCCACTTGAAAGGTAACACATTCTACAACTTAAATTGAGTACCAGATAGAGAGCAAGGATTTAGTAGCACCTTTACCAGCAAACAATCACATGTAGTATCCTGAAAATGTAAACTAAAAAGAAGTCCCCTATATGACCTCTATATAGGTCATACAGCATACAAAAATGTTTTAAAATTACACAGTGTCAAGTACATTTCATAATTTGAGTACAGTTTAAAAACAAAATATCTGCTACTCAAGCTTTCCTCATTGGTAATAACTATACAATTACTGCTGCATGGTTTTATATATATATACATATGTATATTCTTCTGAACATATATACATTCAGCTAATATATATATTATATATTCAGCTAGAATTTAATTATAGGAAGATTCTAAGTAAAGGAATTTTGCTTTCTTTCACATTTGATAGACTTAAAAATCTATTATAGTTGTATTTATTAAAGTTTCTGTGTACCAGTTAAATTTTATTGAGTTTCTAATGCTAGAGAGTTAAAAGAAGACTTGATAGAGATTCATTCTTTTTTTAGTAAACTTGCAATCCAAGATAGGCATAGCAGTTTTATATATCATTGGAAAATTTGGTGATTTCTGTCTTTCTATTCTGTAATCTTGGGCACATCGCTTTCTTTCACAGAATCACAGTGTCACAGCTGTATTGTCATCCTCAGGGTCATCTCTCAGTCTCCCTATTTTCATAAGATAGCTGCTGGAGTTCAAGGCATTGCACCCACATTTCATCTGAGAAAAATGATTAAAGAAGTGCATTGAGAATGTACATGCTTTCTGATTTGGCCTACTCTGAGTAATTTTCAGTGAAATCCATGTTAATATTTCTGCTTATGTCCTACAAATACCTAAAGAAAGGAAAATAGGTTATATACTGAAGTAATGCTATTGACAGTACTCTGCAGACCTAGACCATTATGTGTTTAATTAGTTTGTTGGCTGTTATACACAAATTTATGAACAATTATATATGTGTTTGTGCAGACATATAGATAACACTGTGTATATATTTATAAGTATTATTCTTTCCATAATGTGTTACCTTTATCTTATTGCTTTTAATTAAAGTATACGTTATATTAGACATTAGACGTTCTCACTTTTTAATTGAACTTCTTCTTGTGTCTTATGTAATCTGTTTTTAAAAAACTTTATTAAACATATTGGTACAATATAGGTATACATAATGATCACATTCATCATAGGGAACTTGTACCTGTATGTAGTATGTTTTCTTCCTCTTTTCTTTCTTCCCATCCCCCTCCCTTCAACTTCTCTTCCTCTCCTTATTTACAAAGTTTTGTTTTCATTTTATCCTTTTTCCTCATTTTTTTCTTTTCCCTTCCTCCCCCCATCATTCTTTCCTTTTAAACAGTTTCTTCCTATTTCACACTGTCTATTAAATATTTTTGTCCTTATTTACACTCACAGTTTTTTACACCAGAGAAATAATGTGATGTTTACATGTTTTTCCCATTTATTTCACTTAAGGGTGTGGTCTCAAGGTACATCCATGTACCTAGAAATGTTTCAAGTTTATCCTTGTTTTTGGCTGACTAGTGCTCTATGTTATAAAAAAGCACATCTTTTTTATTCATTCCTAGGTTGATGGGCATTTGGTTTGTTTCCAAGATTTATCTGTCACAAACTGTACTGATATAAAGATAAGTACACATATATCACTGTGGAATGATATTTCAAATTCTTCCAGGAAGATACTCAGAAGGGGAATAGCTGGATCAAATGGAACCTTTAGTCCTAGCTTTTTGGTGGCTCTCCATACTGATTTCCAGTGGTTGCACCAGTCTATGCTCCCACCAACAGTGGAAAAGGGTCCATTTTTCTTCACAGCCTCACCATCATTTGTTACTGGTTGATTTCTTGAAAATAGCCATTCTTTCTAGGTTGAGATGGAATCTCAGTGCTGTCTAAACTTGCATTTCTTGAGTGATTAATGATGTTCCACACTTTTTCATATATTTTTGCCATTTTTACTTCTTCTGAGAAGCATCTATTAATTCCAGATGCGCATTTATTTTAACCTTTATCTTATTTTACACAGTAAAAGATTAATTCCTATAATAATTTCATTCTAACAGAAAAGATCAATTTCAATTTTACTTTTCTGATTCTTTGTATGATTTCTAGTTAGGCAAGAAGTTTAGAGCTTCTTGGGGGAGAAGAGTGATGTTCTTTCGGCCCGTGACAGTGAATCTTGACTAGAAGCTTGATCGGCTTGAGTGATGCCTAGGATTAGGAAAGCACATCTCAGGGTGAGCCTGGACAAGCCACAGGGCCATGACTTTGGTGATGCACCTGGTTCCTGCTCCTTCCTCTCTGGCATTTTCCCCTGCTTTCTGCTTCCCAGCCTCCTGGAAGTGAGCAACTTTGCTCTGTCCCACCCATCTGCAGTGATATTCTTCCTCACCTCAGACCCACAGCTGTAGAACCAACCAAGCATGGACTGAAACTTCAGAAAAGGTAAGAGAAACAAGCCAGATTCTCCTTTATATTAGGTATGCCAGAGATTTATCCCAGCAAGGCAAAGGTGACCAATATACTCTCTGACCAAATTTGATATCAAAGTATCACTGGGGCTCAGAAAATGATACCTTAAAAAGTGACCCTGAAGTTTTGAGTGCTTTAAATGAAAGAAGCAGTCTCAAGGTTTCTCTGACCTTCTTTCTCTGTCCTCTTCCCTGCTTTTTCCCTCCCAGAGTGTATGGAGAGGTTTTCTCTAGAGTTTCTTTATTTGACTAAGAAAGTTCTTCCAGGACAATTTTTTCTAACATACTTGCATGGTTAAAATAAATAAAAATAATGAATAAAATTAACCTTCAAATCCACTACAAAAAAACTCACAATCCCCACAATACACAATTTAAAATTTCCAGAATAAAATTCAAAGACTAAACATACAAATAAATAAGAACACATGACCAATTTTCAATAAAAGGGAAATCAATTTAAATATACCCAAAGTTGACCATAGTATTAGAAAAAACAAAAACCAGGGCTTTAAGCTAGCTATTTATAATTATGTCAAATGATATAAACAAAAATATATTAGCAATTAGTGAAAAGATAGAAAACTCAAAGCAGTGAAATGGAAATTATAACACAGGCTTAGGGATATAGCACAGTGGTAGAGTACTTGCCTAGCGTACATGAAGCCCTAACTTAATCCCACCACTGAAAAGTAGATATTATAGGCAGACAGATAGATAAACTGATAGACAGATAGAAGACAGAGTAAAGTCATATATATGACCCTAAATGAAAATATATAATTTAAAAATACATTACCTTAGGTCTGAGTTTTTCAACTTGAACACAAATCAGTAGATATCATCAAATCTGAAAAACAGAGAAAGAACAAATTTTTAAGCAAGAAAAACTGGAAGATTCCAACATTGTCCTCATCTTCTACAAAGAAGAACTGATGAATAGCTCATTCATAGATCAGCAACTATGGGAGAACACAAGAATTCAGCAAGGGGAAGTCTGAAATACTGTAAGACTTGGAGACCTAAAGAGGTGGCATCGAAAGAGGAACAAAGAATCCTGTGCAACTATGGAGAGAGCTCCCATGGTTGTCATGGAAACCCTTTTGCAGGAAAAAGGGTGAATGGGAGATTCCCGACAAACTTCATCAATATAGACACCAGCAATCTTACCTATCAGAAAGTTTCATGGTCACCACAAACTTACAGCCCACTTAGGAGAGCAACCTGGTACAACAGCTTTGCTTTGGGTAAGGAACTCATACTGCCTTCCCATCAATCTCTACAAACAGGTTTTTATAAATGGGTGCCATGTGAGGAGGGGGGTTGGTTTGAATTTATAATCCTCTGAGAGTCAGAAATGCCTACAGATCTCCATTTCTGCAACTGCAGAGACATGCCACCAGGGTAACAGAGGGGGCTACAGCCTCACTACCACTAAACCCAACAGAGCAGCTGGGACCCAGCTCTCAAGTGTTCTCAGTGGCCTCCCGTGCAGCATGCAGATATTTCAGCAGAACAGAATGGAGAGGGCTACTCTTACAGCAGTGGTCCCAGCAATCCCATCATGCTACCGTCATCCTATCGTATACCCTATTCTATAATCAAATTGCCCCTTGTAAAGTTATCCTTCATTCTTCCTGTTTTGCACAGCATTGTCAGTTCTAGAGAAAATCACCTTTAAATGACAAAGATATGAACTGTTGGAGTTAGCTACTGCAGGAAAAAGCAACAAATGAAACACTGGTTCCCAGACCTTCTGATCAGTAATCTTTTTTATTTTTAATTTTGAAGAATCAGGACTGTCTGATAATCTTCAGATAACCTCAAAGTATAAGCCAAAGACTTGCTAATTCTGTTCTTCATTAAAAGTTAAGTAATATTTACTTCCAGAAAAATAGTGTACCAACATAAAAAAATTACAAGGACTGGCCTAGAAGATGAAGGCAGGTTGTTGTAAGGATATTACAGCAAAAGATAAAGAAAAATCATCCTTTAAATGATGAAGATAGCTATCAAGCCTGGAGATGTGACTTGACTCACACTGCACCTTCCTGCTCTTCCATCCCATAAAAATCCTTTGTATACCAACATTCCTTGACATGGTCCCTATAAAAATAGCCTGGGTATTTTTCAACTAGTTAGTTCACCCTTATTCCTTTTTCTCTTTCCACCAACCCTTGTCTACCAGATACTTGTTTTCAAGCAAAATGTAACCTTGGTGAATAACACTCTCAGGAATTAAGAGACCAGGTGTGATTCCCCTAGGATCCAGGGAGGAGATCACATGTATGGGCTCAAGCCAATCCCAGGACTGAAACAAGCATTCATGGAGTTCCCTGCCACCACCTCCCTACTGCGGGCAGCTGCACATGGGTCCACACCACTGGTGGGGCTGAGAGCAAGCATGGATGCCATGGTTCCCATGGGTATATTCCTCCATATCCCATGTCTGGTGTGGGTGTGTGTCACTGTCACGTGTGCCATGATTCCTGTAGTTGCTCCTAGTAGTAGTTGATTGATTGTGTCAACTTGAAAAGTTTAGAAGCTTAACTAAACTTGGCTCAGCAATTGGCTCAGTAATTCTACACCCTAGGGTATAGAGGAGCCACCCTAGGGTGGATCATCACCTAGATGATATAAAAGGGAAACGAGGAAGGACAGAGAAGTTCCATCTTTTAGAGGAGCTCCACTCTTCACCTTCTGTTTGGATGTTGTCTCCTGGCTTCTAGTGCAGACTCTTCAGCTTCTGCCTTGGATCCTTCAGCCTTCCAGCATAGTCTCATCAGCCTTCCATCACCAACCAATCGGTCTCCTGATATGGACTTGCATGAAAGTCTGCAGTGAACTCTAGCCCCTGGACTCATTCCTTTGGGCTCTGGTGTGCAGACACCCTCTGCATGCTTCCTTCTCCAACTCTTTGACTGACCATTATAAGCCAGTCTTATAATTTCTTATACATTTGTGTATCTTGTATTACATCTATTTCTCTAGTAAAACCCTGACTGATACATCCTTCTACCTCCCATGCTGTATCTGTGCTGTCAGAGCTAGAAAAAAGTACCAGCTAGAACTACTTAACTTGCCAGAACTCAGAGCAGATGCCAGAGAGTGGGTAATCTGGTCCCTGCTGCTACTTCATGTGCCATGGCTGAGCTTAAGGTTCCCCACCACTATTGGAGTTGTTGGGGCCACAGACTCTTGCCAATAGCAGTGCGTACCTTGGGAACGCCTGGACAAATGTAATTTACCTGGCTGCTGCCACTACCCCCACTATCAAAGTGTCCATGGAGTGGGTATCAGGATACACACTGCTGCTGTACTGTACCTGCCTGAGCTGGTAAAGTGAGCCCAACCTTATGTGACCCCTAGAAGAGTTGTTCTCTTTAACTCCACTGTGGTGCACAAAATGTCCAATGTCGTTAATTACAAAAAACTACAGAGACATGATACTACACTGTCCAATCAGAATAAAAGCCTGCCTAACATACCAAATTGACATATCCCCAGGAGAAAACTCCTACTATAAAGCCAGCCTATGATAGTGGTAGAGATAACTGGTCTATCAGTTGCACAAATCTCAGAGCAGAATTAGAAGAAATATGAATAAAGAGTAAATGAACACAACCAAATAAACACAACAAATCTGCAGCAAGAAGCTTCAAAGACAACAGCATTGAAGAAATGCCTGATAAAGGAATGACTGTAAAGTTTAGTGAGATTAAAGAGAATACAAACTGCCAGTTAAACAAAGTTGGGGAAATAATAAATCAACAATATAGTTAAAATTCTCAACTACAGACTAGACTGAGTAAGAACATATATCATAAGTTGAGAACAGGTCTTCTGAAATATCCCAAGAAGTAAAAAAAAAAAAAAAAAAAAGGAAAGAAATAATGAAAATATCTGAGCTGTTCGGGGTACGTTAAACATTCAGGCAACAAACCCATTGGATAGTGCCACCCACACCCAGGTTGGGCCTTCCCCTTATCCACACCTAGAACTATGCTCACCTGCTGTGGCCCACACAGCTATGTTCCCAGGGGAAAAACGGTGAGAGGATTTAGAAATAAAGACAATAGGCAAAAGCTGGTGTCAGGTGGAGCCCTCTCTCTCTGGATGGGAAGAAAGGAACCAAACAACCACCATAGGGGTGTTTATTTATACTTTTGACAAAGTTAGTATCAAAAGAAACAGGGTTGCCAAGCAACTAATGACTGGAATTGTCTCAGAGAAGGTGTTTCAGGATTGAAGTAGCTTGATTGCTTTAGGCATTCTTCATTCTTGGACGAGCCATGCCTTGCCCCCATATATGTGACTAATTTCCAGGTTCAGCCACTCCCTACACTAACCAATCAGAAAATCATCACACACCTCTAGTCCATCTTTACACACCCTAGATCCAGAGACCTTCAAAAAGCCCCACCTGTGGGTACATAGGCTTTGGGCTGGGCATCTAGACATACAAGCCATAACAGGAATTAAGAACAAATAAAAACATTTTTAGAATAATAAAAACCAAATGAATTTGTTTGTTAGAACACCTGTACTATGTGGAATACTCAAAGTTCTTTGGGTGAACACAAAATTATACTAGAGAGAAACTCAGGTCATCAGGAAAGGATGAATAGCATCAGAAATTGAAATATTTTAAAAATATTAAACACAATATTCCCATCTTAAATTATAACATTGTCTTATTGTCATTGTGTATAAAAATAGATATAATGTATGTAACATCTATAGAATAGGGATGGGCAATAAAGAGAACTACATACATACAAAGTTTATATATTTTATGTGAAGTGTCAAGATACTAACTCTAAGTAAACAAAAGTTAATCTATATTGTAACTGCTACAGCAGCCACTAAAACACTTATGCAAGTAGTAAAGATAAAGGTCTAAATGTTTAGTATGTGTGTGAGGAGTGTTTATAGATATGTTCAAACAATCAAAAAGAGAGAGAAAATATGAAAAATGAAAACTAAACAATAAGATTTATACTCAGTTGTATCAGTAATTATGTTTTAATGTACCAAACACTCAAACTGCAAAGTTTGTCAGAATGCATAAAGAGAAAAGTTGAACTACATGCCTTCATAAAAACATCATCTTTAGAAATAGATATGGATAGATTTATAATAAATAGATGAAAATATTTTCATGTAGGGAATAAAAGGTTGAAATAGCTGTTTTCATATAAGATGAAATAGACTTCAAGGAAGAAAGATACTTCTAAAGACAAGGAAAGACATTTAATAATAGCTAAAACAATCAATATTGCAGTAATATGCAGTATAGGAATTTGAATATGAACACAACTTAAAACAGAGCTTTAGAACTGAAAAGATAAAATTAATAGACAATAAAGATTAAATCACAATTACATTCAAATGTGCTGTTATTGAATAAAACATCAATAAAGACATATGTTAACTAACATAATACTGTCAACTATATAAACTTTATTGTCATTTAGAGAACTGTATATCCAATAGCTGCAGAATATGTAATTTTCAATACATATGATACACTCACTGGAAAAGACTGTAGTCTGAGCCCAAAAGCATGTCTTAATAAATTTTAAAAGATTCAAATATAGCAGTATGTTATCTGGCCAAAATGAAATTAAATTAGAAAGCAATAACAATATATCTAATAAAATCTGAGATATGTCAAAATTAAGCAAGCTTCAATAAATGTCACACATGATCATTCTGAGGACACCATGCCCAGTGTTGTATTTATTACAAGACCTTGCCATCTGGTTAGTGTGAATACAAACTATAAGCCCTTCCTCTATAGTACAGAGTACTATACTCTACCCACCTGATTTTAG